GTACTTTTTTTACCAACTTTTCCATTTCGAATGTATTCGTGAAATAGTACATTGCAAAAATGACGGAGAAAATGATCTTGAGCAATATAGGAATTAATTTTTAATGAAAACTATTTTTTGACGTCCACTTACTCAAGTTACCTCCGCAATGTTGTGCGTACGTCAGTTGGAAGATCAACAGTGATGTGGTTTGCTATCCAGAGGAACGGCTAAGATAGCCTTTAAAATATACTATAAAGACATGAACCTTTGCCAAGTCTTCGAACTATTTGGGCTATATATACATCAATTCTTGGATCCTGTAACTGAAAAACGACTATGAAATCCTGGGTCAAGTGATTGTTGGAAAGTTTTCCCAGTATCTATATTCTTGCCATCAATCTGTTGATAAGTTCTCTTAACGCCACAAATGACTTTTTTTCCTTTGTACTTTGCTGTCTGTTATTAGTAATATTGTTCTTGTTTAAACAGGACTTATTTAAACGATTTCTGTTTGTGTTCAGCTTTTTTGTTGACCTCAAATTAAATTTAACGTTTCATTGTGAAATTTGTTTTGTCTCCATTTCTTTTTTGATTTATGGAAATTTGTTAATGAAAAAAGTAAAATCGCTTTATTCTAATAACTTTTTTCCCTAATCAAAGTGAAATGAAATCAAGCGTTTGTGTATTGAAACAGTTAAGCATCTGTAATCTTTTGACTATATATTTTTGTCTCAGTATTTTGTGATCTAGTTTGAATTCAATAAAAATATTACATCGTCGAATTCAGCATAAACTTTTCCGGTTTAGTGGTAGAAATCGACGCGGTTTCATATGCCGGCACAGTTGGTGTTTATACATAGACATCCATTACATTAGAACATGTCTTCCATAAATTCATCCGTTTGACTGATGTTAAACGGACCAGTTTCATCGTTCATGCTGTCAACCTCTAAAACCTTTTTTCTGTTKAAATAACGATGAACAATCCAGACGAGAACAAGAAGCAACACTCCAGATACAATGAGAACAACGGCTGATGCATCATTCATAACTCCACTGCAGATCTCATCGTGAATATAGCGTCGTTTCTTGTGAAGACAACGAAAACCAAATCCAAGGCAAATAACTGATGCAATAAGTGATATTAGACAAAGAAGAAATCGCTGATGCCTCTCGATCAACGTAAAACATGAAGCTGACATCTGATCAGACATAATGTGAAACTCACTGATCGAAGCTGTCTTTCTTGTGGTAATATCAAGCGCCTAGAATAATGGAGACATTTCGATTAGTTCTGCTGTATTCATTATACAGAACCTTTTAACGACGTGGTTGGAAGAGCAACTGGAGTCGTTACTAAATGAGCATGCGAAGAGTGGCTGATTTTAAAAATAACTCCTTCAAATTGTGACAGCGAATGTAATGTTTTTTTAAATATTCTATACCAAACATAGCACAATAGAAAACAAAATATTGCCATTCACTTTTCAACAAAAGCAATTAAAATTCGATAAAAGTGAATTGATTGTAGATTCTGTAATTTCTGCTATGATGTTTTTTGGGAAAAAAATTCGGTAAGTAATGCTTTTCTCTCGTTTTTGTTTTTGGTGTATTTTTTTTTTTTTTTTTTTTTTTTTTTTTTTTTTTGTTAGGATTTGTCGTATTTTCACCTGCTGACCGTGTGTACAGTTGTGATTTATGTAAACTGGTTAATTTCAGGTGCTCATTATGAATTGCTTCCACTTTTTGGTTTTTGTGTACAACGAAACAAAGTTTAAGCTCGTATTTATAGCAAAATGTATCTTATTAGACTAGACATGTCAACAGACCACATTTGATATCCTGGTTGACTATGCAAAAGGATTGAAGACGAGGCGGCAAGGTGCAAACAGTAGAAAATCCATTAGTTTCCCCATTCAGCCTCGTTTGTATATGGCTATTCTACCAGAATATCGAACATTGATTTCTTATATGCTCATTTTCTCACTCTACAGTCGATGTCGAGTTTTAGTTCACGCTATAATAGCCTCGTAATCAGTGTCGCCCATGGATTCCGAAACAAGAATTGATTTGACATCTCACGATTTTTATCGACTAACGGCGTTGTCCAAATCGTTTTACGCATCTTTTCATCTTTCGACACTGAACACAGCAATCAACTAAATCGAATGTTGAAACAAATGCTGAAAGTGCGCCAGCCTTTAGAAACATCCGTGACTAATTCTTTGCCAACTAAATTAGGACAATTTGTACAAGACCTTGTTTTTTTATTGTTTAATTAGTGAAAATYTAGGCAATTTAGTAYTTGAAACGCCAAAATTCCGCTTGGATGTTATGATTAGAACCCAGGACCATCTCATGTATRTGAAACATGCTGTCCACCATAGTCGCATCAGTGGTTAACAAATCTGAGCCACGAGTTTCCAAGCGATACTGCGATAGTCTACGTTATACACCTGCAGTTTATTCTCTATATTAAAACGCCGAGTAAACTGCTYAGGTTTTCGCATTGGAAGAAACGGAAAATTTTGAACGAGCGACTAGCTCTACACCACTGATATATTCATTTATTGTCCTCTCTGAGCAAGTATGTAACACACGATTTCATTASCTAAAAAGCGGGCCGTACTTTCCCGTATACGGACCATGATGAAACGAGAAAAACTTTTTTTATCATTTAAAAAGCTAGACGTTTCCACTTTTTAATTTTCAATTTTCTTTTTTCTTCTAGTTTCTTAGTCAGCCTTTTTTCCTTCTATTTTGAATTACGAGATCGGAAAAGTATGATTAAAAACGTATTTTTATKTCCGATTCTCTATCAATTTTACTAACCCACAATAGCTTGCTCGAGCCGTATGGGAAGTTATGGAACCTCGTTTTTTTCCACTTTTTTTATGTCAGCGGAAAAAACTGACTCGGTCCATAACTTCGCGCTCGGTTAATAAGATATTAATATAGAATATTTTTATAGTCTTTKAATAAGCATTCATGGACTGTATTTGAAGAAACTCTAATTGTATCGCAAAACTGCTGAAAATCCGGCCAATTTGAAGTTGTTTGCTCTCGGGAAGACCACACGACTAATTTGTATCATGTAATATGAAAATATCAAAGCGGCTAACCTTGCCACGTTCAGTATTGTAAGGTTTTTTATGTCTAGAATAAAATATCAATTCAGTTGGATATCATAGTATTTCGATTAACGAACGGGCCGTGTTAGTTTGTCCGTTTAATTTATACTTGTGAACTGTTCGTATACATTCCAATAGTGAATCTTAAGATCTCTTTGGTAACACCACGAACGGCCATATTGCAATCGATCTCCTCGCAGTTTAGTCRGCAGGACGTTTGCTATCTGGTCCTTTATGAGGGCTTTCGTCGTATTGTTGCTTTTATCTGTTGTAGGGAATGGATGGGGGAGCATTAAGTTTTACAAAGAGGCTCTRCAATGTAAGTTAACTTGCACATTATTGTCGACTCATAAAAGTGACCTTGCATATGATAAAAACCTTTTCATTAATACTTTTTCCATTGTTTTAAAGCCTTGAAAATGTCCCGTCCGTTAAAATGTCAAGTTTTGACTCAGTGATATCCAGAGTGCATAAATGCAAAATAGGGAAATATATATCTACATTGTAATCAATTGTATTTCCAATAGTCTTGATGAAGCTTCATTCAGAATCAGCTATGAAAGTTATAGCAAACAGTACTGGACATGAAACGCATYATCAAAGCAACGAAAAAAGATCAGAAGTCGCTGGAGTTGTTGCGGTTTACAAAAGGAAGTTTGATTTAGACTCCCCACTTTATACCACAAGTATGTAGAAATATGGCTTTCTTTGTGCGACAAACACTTTTCTATTGATTTCATTCAAATCCAGCGTTTTGCAAAAAAATTCCGTAAATTTCAACAATATCTATATTTACATATGTCGTATTGTATTTTGGGAGATATTGACTGAAAATGTGGCTATAAAATCCCTCTTTGAAGTAGAAATCACTAGATATTTTTGCTGGCATGTTATTTCACATAATGCCAACCAAAAAAAAAATCAGTTGTCAAAACATCGGTATTGCAATGTAATTTTTGCAAAAAACTGTCGCTATTCTCTATATTTCTCTATTTCTTTCTTCTTTCTTTAGTGTATTATTTGTTTTATTCATTCTTTTAGACTAAGTTGTCCTAGTTATAATTTTCTATCCCTGTTTAGCCCTCTGTTCTCTTTGAATTTTCAGGCAGTTATAAGTTCCCCGTGGATTCGTTCGTCAAGAATGCAATGATAGCTATTTTAGGTGAAGACGGAGTTTTGGAAAAAGGAGGGTTTTACTTGGATGGATACATATCAAAGAGCGGGAAAGCTCTTATCAAAATGGCTAAAAGCTTTGGCAACAGAACAAATCTTATTGCCGAGGTAGTCGTGTTGTCCAGACATATYTAGTCAAGTTTACCACTACTTTAGCAGATTTTATATCAGGGGTCAAAGATATTGATATAGCGACAACCATGTAGTCACAGTTTGYTACTGATTATGTATTGTGAAATACATGTGAAGAGCGGTTGCTCTCTTTTATACGCATTTCATAATTAGAATGATTCTGTTTACAGATAAAGCAGGCACAGCACAGTCCAAGTTTAGACACGCCATTGGCTGTAATCGTTCACCTTCTTCTGACGACCGAAGATACTAACAACCTTATTGCCTGGCAGAAGGAACAGATACAAAAGGGTAATTTGAAATTCGACGATCCTTGTGCTCCTAAAATGTTAGTCATGTACAAATGTTGTACATCAACTGTTCTACCTCTGATTGGTCCGTTTTTTGGTACTCTAAGAATAGCCACAGATTAACCATTGGGATGCTGGGTAAAAGAAAAGGGAGGAACTGGTATAGTAAAATGGTGTTTGTCTTTCCATTCAAGAATTCGTATTTTACTGTAAGACTTGTATCTCAATAAATAGYAATGTTTATTGATCAAATTGACTTCATAATCATGTACGCGATGCATTTGGAACCGGATATGCATCTATCCACCTATACCTCCCCCCTCAGATCATCCAATTATTTATCTTTTCAATAATTCCCACTATCCCATTCACTTCAAATATTCTTGTGATAAGCCTCTCTGTAATCATGGTKCGCCGAGTTTTTTAAGGAGATACTTCTTGTCTCTTGTTTCCTGAGAAAAAAAAATCATTTCAGATTGACTAAGCTAAATTCTCGTGATAACTCCAGTCGTATGAACCTCACTGAATGAGTAGTGAATGTGCCCCACCCAGAGTACCGTTATACTGTATTATTAAAGCTGCATCAACAGTCAACTGACTTACCATGGCCAGTTCTTCTCTCAATTCCATGATCATTCGACTGTAGACCTTAGCTGATGCATAAAAGAAATACAGCCCCAGACTACAGATATTGATACAGAGGAAGGAACATTAGATTGCGCACTCCTCTACCTAATAGAGTGAGAGGATTGGCTTACCATATAAGGATGACAATAGTTATGACGAAGACAGGACTCTTGACGACATTATACAAGTCTTGTACTCCAATAGGAAGAGTCTGGATCGTTAACGGTACGATGCTATACATTCGGTACAGACCCCTAACAAGAGAAATCATTATGACTTGCATGGGTTCCCTGATTACTAATGCCGGTGGATTTCAGTTGATGACAGCCATGCCGATGGTACAGTTTCCCATCTCGATGGCTCATATTATCATCAAGGCCGTCGATCATCAGTCATATCTTAGGAAAAGCASTTTTACGGAGCGTATTACAGAAAACAATATAGGCTTACCTAAATGGACCATAAAGCAAAGAAGGACGGATTCTGAAAAAAAATTACAAATTCGTAAATCTATATACCAAATACTTGTTCGTATATCATGTACAACTTACTGCGAGACTCCATAAACCACAGCTGCGGTGCACAGGAAAAAGGTGGCAAGAAGGAGAAGCATGAAAAAGTAGTTCGACTTTCCTGCACGGTATGGTTTATCCTCAGGTCGACAATTGTACTTGAGATTAAGCTAAAAACATAGATATATATATATATATATATACTTTACTGTCTAATGATTGCCAAAAATAACAATTTCTCTTTCACAATACAACCCCCCGAATCCAAATGTTTAAGTAACGTACCTTTTTAACGTAGAATAGTATGAAGAATTTGATACATCCCATCAGTGTCAATAATGGACTATACCACATGCCAATCCTATACCAAAACACATGTACTGACGTAAAACATTCTAAAACGATCAAAAGAATCGGTGCATGTCTGATGGAAGCTTACCATATAAGGCATTGTGCGTACACCAATTCCAARACGTTCTGAGGGATAAGAAATACAGGTCGTCCAATTTTTTGTCCAAGTTTGATTCCACAGTCCACATGGTCAGCAACATATCTGAAAAGTACATGTACAGAGTTGGTCGTTTTGTAGCGTTACTGTTCATATGAAATATTTTTGCAAATAATAAGAATGCTTGTTTCTGTTACAATCACAATTATCAGCTATACCTTCTTGGTGTGTGATAGGCTACTGCAACAGCAATAACCACAAAAAARTCCATCCAGATTAGCTTGTACATTTCTGTAGCAATAGCGTTCTCCCAGCACTACAACGTATGTGTTATCGTTAATACAAKAGGGAGTCAAAATATACCGATGTATGAGTAATATGGAATCTATGTTATTTATAGATTAGATTAACGGATTCTCTGTGCTTCAAACTATGTCTCGTCAAACGCCATTCTATAGCACCATTTTTATATGATGTTATATGAGATGTGATAAAAYATCCCAGCGACACAGCATCACGGGATATGATAATCTAGCCGTTTTATYYWATAAACMATGAAATGTACAGTACCAAAATGCAGCCATCTTTGTCGATTTTTTGAAAAAGTGAAATAACCAGTACAGCAACAGAAGCCAATTTCAGCAGAACAGTCCTGCAATCATGATAGTGAATACGCAAATAGTGTAGTCCGATTGGTTGTAAACAAGAAACAGTCTCGCATGCATTGTAATCCGGCCTTTTAGGGGAGCAATAAAAATTGCTAAAACACTGATCTATCACCGCTCCTTGTTCCGGGAGAGTTTCTGCAGGTACACTGGTTTTCCTCCCTCTGTCAAAAACTAGCTCAGTGAGGAGTATCACTTGCTATACCAGTCAGTGTCGAGACAGTGAGTGTTGGTCTCAGCCTCMCCGATAATCAGGACACTTGTTGGCCGGGTATAGCGATTGAGATGYTACAAAAGTCACTTATTTATCTATTTAACCATCCTTCATGCCTTGGTTCAATGATTCTCTATACCCAACCCTAATCTAATAGTCCATGTGAAAAAGTGACATGTGACTATCTTCAATCAAAAGAAAGTGCGTGACAAACCTTGCCAAATCGATATTCACATGTACTCTAGGGTTCCAGTCCTCCAGCTGAGAGAGGAAGTAGAATAAAGCAGGGAGTACAGAATTSAGAACAGTGATTGTTATTGATGATGCATAGCTCTTGAACAGGTCCATAAACTCAGTCTTACTTGATTGTACCATAGAATCGGTTTGCGCAGTCTGAAATACATGGACAGAAAGTCTACAGTAAATTRAAATACGTAAAAAGTACATTTTTAGAGTTCTTGTTTATACTTCATTCTYATACACAAATTACTTTCATTAATCAAATCCCATATAAATATTTAGGGCGTTGTTTCTAATATTCAAATAGTTATTGCAAAAGCACACACCTTTAGCGATAATTGCGCCGCTTCGTAGATGGCCAATCCAGCACCAACGGACAGCAACAAGACAAACATGTTTACAGCAAGTCTAATAGAGAAGATTTGACATTTTTGTCTCTGTGTTCGAGCGGAGAGATTTGCAAGACGAAGATCCTCCGCTAAATCACCCTACAAATTTGAACACAAATCATAAGAGAATATAATAAAACGTTTGCCACGGAACTGTTCTGGACATTATGTTTGTTGTTTTATTTACATTAATAAAAGAGGTATAAGATGAATATAGTTTGATAGTAATATAATATATATGGAATATTTGGCACAAATAGGATTTTTATGTTTGATCAATGCCTCTATTTATGGGTTTTATCTGTGTATTTTATGTTTTCTTATTGTCATAACCTGATCAGCATCAGACCTAGATGTTTCATGTCTAAGGCCATGTGCCATTCCTATATATGGGTTATCGGTATATACCAATCACGTGACCGGAGTTAATACAGTCTAGACAATATGTACTAATCGTGTGATTTTTGTACTTTGTACATTCATATATAGTTCAGTGATTTTACATTCACTAGTGCAGTGATTTTACATTCCTTATAAGAATATATTCCAGCTTGTAATCATACTGCGCATGGGTAGGAATAGGGCGTAGTCGAATTATTACCATCTCCACTGCTGTCCGATCTCATTCTGGCACAGCATCTGATTGCTCAAAACGCCCTCCTCCTCCCCTTGCCTGTCCTCTCTGATTCTTAGAAGGGCCTTTTTGTGCCAACACCTTTACTGGTTCGATATGATTTTAGCTGTTGCAATCATTTTAGTTAAATATTAAATGAGTTTTGTTAATTATTAAACATGGCTTTGAGGGTTATTCCCTCATAGCCATTAACTCCATAATGTCTCATTCTTTGGTTTAGACCAGCAAACGAGCTCGGGAACTGCAGTAACAAATGAGCGATAAATGATGGCGTGGTATTGAAAATATAAAATAGTTTTATATATGGCATAAGCGTTCATTGTAGACAGAATCAGGGATTTCGATTACGTACACACCTCGATCTCTCTAACAAGGCTTTTGACTTTRAGTTGAGCTGCGATTTCATCTGTAATGCACATATCCCAGCCGCCAAAAACCTTATTTGCGTAGCTATTATGGTGTTTGACTCCATCTTTGATGTAACTCTCTTCTATGATGCTTGAAGCACTATAACGAAACTTTATTCATTTACCAATGATTCATTTCATTTTCCGACTAACTKGTTTGAAACGTTTCCTGGACTAGAAAGGTGACTTTAAGGCAGAAGGCCGGGCAAGGCCTGGAATCTATGTTATGTGTACAACAGTGCTCTCACWGTCTGCACGAAATACCTTCATCTACGAGAAAATGCAATAATTGAGAATAATGTACATTTGTAAGGAAATAATGACTAATGATATGTCTAAAAAACATTTGGTTTTAGATTTAATGAAGCWGTCTTTCTAAGCTCGACAAATGTAGTTTGCTTTGATATGCTATGCATAAATATCCTCTATACCAATGCTATATGCATTTATATCACAACATACCTCCACAATGTCAAAAGAAGAACAATGACAAAGCTTAAAGTACCAACGGTGAAGTAAGCCATCGGCATATTGTAATAACTGCCTGTTGGCATGACGAGGATTTTACTTGAATAGCTGCCATAAAACATGACTGTTGTATTTATCCAGCCCTAAATGAATTCAAGAGATGTGAATATTCTTAGCGTTTGGTCTTTTTTCAGTGCTTGGCATACTGATCAATGATTTTATCACCCTGAGTTGAGAACCTTTAGTAGACTTATAGAAAAGCAAAATATGGACAATTAATTATTCAAATGAACTTGTGACTAAATCGTTCWGGTAGTTTTCTGTTCTTTTCTACACGATTTTATTTTGTACTTTTCGTATTTCAAATCAGTACAAAAGAAAAACATCTACAAAAGAAGAATAGACTCACCATGCCTTGCATGAAATCACTAAGGATACCTCCAACATCTTTTGAAAGATAATTATTGGTGCTGTTTGGTTTCRCTACAGAACAACCTCTTTGTAGAGCCTGTGCAGTAGTGTTGGCTCCCAAGAATCCAGCCTGTTCTCTCAAGATTTCTCTTACARCAGAATCTGACAGTAATTTCAGTATGAATATGAGAAACACATGGCACTATGATAAACATGATATAGAAATAAAGGAAAGTGAATAGTGCTTAGAAGGAGGTAATTTCGKGAGAAAKATTAATTTCCGACCACGCTAGGATTCGAACCCACGACTCACTCCCTTCGCCCTAATTTGTACTACGACTGATGCTCTATCAACTGAGATGCAAGGTCAAATTAATTTCATTAGTCATTTTATGAATGATATAGATTAGGGTGTACGTAAGAAAAACGTCAACAGAATTCAAGCAATTTTTGATRTATGTGGMAATTTTATTTGCCAAATAGCGTCTTTGTAGTGGTCAGCACTGATTTATGAAAWTGGAATTGCTTCAATGGATGGAGGGATCTTTTCTTAGTATAGTGTTAATAGTGTGACAGATGAAAAGTACCACTTAAAAATTGCTTGTGTAGACGGGTCTAGAAGATCAATACCTGAAGACAAATTKTTTAACAAGGAAATGGTTGAATTATTAGATGCATTTCCTGGCTTAACAATGACAGCTGGGACTTCATTAGTAGCCACGAYTTGTGGAATGACCAGGAAGGACAATGCAATAATGAATACAAGCAAATTAACCAATAACAGCCATCTCAGGAACGTGAAAAATGAAAGAATACCATTTCCAAAAGACCCTGAAAATATCAGATCATTAAAATAGAATTTCGACTCAGCCTTAATTACTAATTCATTGATATGTCAATCATGACACAAAAAATACTAACCCTCGATTTCCTTAAAGTGTCTTCTCCACAGGCTGAACATTTGCAACCAATCCTTTAGCTTTTCCAGTGTTATCTTGAACGACTAAAGATGGATTGAAATGTAATCAATATTCTATAACGTTCTGAGTTTTTATTCATTCTGCTTACCATAGCAATGCGATATCGTATTCCAGTAAAACACGACAAAGAATGGTACTCGCTTAWTGATGTGCTCCTGTAACGATTAAAGTTACAACGCTACCATGCAGGCAATTTACTGAGTAAATTTAAGGTATTGTACTCATTTGTTAATGGAAACAGCATAAGTCACTTGCTTCCAGAGTTATATACAATAAAAAAAGCAACAACAACAGAACACGTCTGATTGTCGTCCAACCAAACAAAGTGATGCTTTCAATCAGTTTGAGACCACAGAGTTGAAATACCGATGCTCTCACCAATCAGACATCCTTGTCTTCATGACAAGTTCACGTGCATACCTTAGACGCCGTCTTTCCYGCAATCTTTCCGTTAAAGGCTTGTGTTCCATGTACTTCCCAGAATCCTCCACTTCAACAATCTCATCGGGWGTGTCATCAGTCACTGGCATGTACAACTATACGTGGAAAATATGATTTCATCATTACTTAGTGGAGAACATTGTTRRTTGATCACATACCGCGGTCCACCAGATTTGATGGTGCTTGATCAGCTGGGAAAAGATTCAAGTAATAGTTGCATTTTGACAACCTTTACCTTTCCATCGATACTCCTCTGACCTCTTGCAAGACTCTTTTTACGCTCCTTTGCCTTTCGTTTCCACGTGGATATCTGACGGCTTGGCAAACTTTCCAGAATATTTCTTTCTCTTTCGTTTGATTCATTTTGTTTGCTTGATTGCTGGTCTTTTTCTCCTAAAAGAATTTTGAAATATTATGTAGAGGAAGTGTAAGATATAGACAAACTCAGTGAAATCCCTTTGTATGTACTTCTCAGCACTGGAAAAAGTTAAAGGTWGCAAATTTGATGTAAATATGATAGTGTAAGTGTCCAAAATTCTGTAAATTTMATGGAAATCATTTACGTTCTGATTAGGCCACTGATTGTTTGAACAGTCTGGAAGTTTTTTTTATTTTTCCATTTTTCAATTATTTATCTTATTAATAGTGTTTATTTATCGCGGGAGGTCCTTTCTTAATGTTACCTCCCTATGTATGTCCATATTACATGCAGTGAGTCCCTAT